CATCATCAAAATTCATCAAAATTGACCATCAATTGATAGAATCATAGATTAAAAACCTATAATCATTCTATAAGTCATTAATTACGCAAATCCCACCTCAATTTCTCATATTCATACAATTAATATAAATCTTCACCTTGCTTTATTCACACAATAACCATTGAGGGTTTATACAGAAACTCACATACAATCTAATACAAATACAATTCAAATCACAAAATTAGAGGCATACACATATCATTAACATCAATTAGACTAGTAAAGGACAATAGAGAAGACAAGGACACATTTAGAAAAAAGCCTCACACATAAAGCATACAATAGAGACAATATTGAAGATCAATCTTATTACCCAAAATACAATCTCGCATCCAAAGCAAAGTTTCTTACTCCTCTTTACCTCAATGAAGGCTAGACAAAGGGTGTGGATCTCCAGGGTGATCTCTAATGATCTTTGGTTCTTCTACCAATTCTTTTGAGCACAAAGCGTAACAAGAAATTAAGAGACTAAAATGTAAATTGACTCCCTACTTTCAAAAGTTCTCTTTTAAAAACTTTCCAACTTACGTTTAACCTTTAGTAAAACACTTTAACCATGGTCACACTTTCCTTCCCCCAAATATTAGAAGTTATAACTAATATATAAAATAAATGTATTTCCCAACAAAATTATAATTTAAATAAAATATATAAAACAATCATATTAAAAACACATATTTTTCTCCAAATACTTATTATAACAAAATATCATAAAAATATATATTTCTCTAATAAATATTATACAAAACAATTTTGCAAACATTTATTAACAACACTCATAATTATTAAAAGTCTCTAAAATATTTTTTAAACTTATTTAATTAATTAAAACATCTTTTTAATAATTTTAGAAAATTTATAATGTTACAACTTGCACACATGTGTTTTGAGAAGCTAACCAGGTTGTTGATAGCTTGGTAAAGCATGGGCATTCATTGCTAGAGGGTGTCCATATCTTTCTTACTCTTCCTTCTTGGATTTAGAATTTTTTGCTAGCTGATTTTTCAACCTTGTATTTCTTTAGAGGGTTTTAGTTTGAGTGTTTTGTCCCTTCTTGTAAAAAAAATGATCTTATTGAACTTTATAATAATTAAATTGAGTAAACACCCAATTTAATTCCTAAAAGATGGTTTGTTATACTTACTTACTAGTTTTGTTAGTTTCTTGAACAATCAACAATTAAGTGATAAATTGACACCTATTATTTCTCCCCATTTTCTCTCCCAATTGGCTATTCTCTATCTTAATCACCTAATATGGATCATAATATAAGGTTTTGGTATTTTTCAATTAGCAACAAACACTTTGTCCATGGGTGCTCTAGTGAAAATGGAAGCTATGCTACTGGACTTTGGAGGATTTCTTGTAATTGAATTTTTCTGTCTTAATCATCCTTAAATTCTTCGTCTATTCTAGTTACAAGTTTAAGATTATAAACCCTAAATTATTGAATTTGGAGTTTAGTAAAATGAGTAATCGTTTTGAAATATCTCAAATGAGGATGTGTCCATCAAATATGGGTGTTTCTGCTATGTTTAATTTTTTAAAAAATGATTTCTACTATGTTTAATGCATCGTAAAACTCCTATAATAGAAACGTGGAAGACCTTAGCAGTAATGTTTCCTTTGGTTAATTGGGAAAGAGAATATATACCAACATGATAATTAACTATTAATTAGTTATGAGATTAACAATATTAGTGACTAAGTATAATGGAAAGACTATCTTACATAACAAAGTTAAAATTTAGAGATCCATAAGTCATAAAAAATCTTTCAAGACCCTATCACTATACCAAAATTAACTTTTTGCAACCAATGTTTTGTTTTTTAGGGATCATATAAATGACTATTATTTTGTTTACTAACAATTAAATAATAGTCGGTATATTTGTAGTCACTAATATTATTACCTATATTTATATATAATGTTAGTAAAGACCCACTAAATTATTGAAAAAATTTAATTAAATTGATTATATATATATATATATATAAAATGGCTAATAAATAATAGATTCTAATGGATAATTTTTATTGACCACAAAATCATGTAGTTTATGATTGATTTAGTGATAATTACTTTCTTAACACTACAAAATTGTCATTAAAAACTATTTTTGTAGTAGTATATCAACCACTTTTATCGTTTTTTAGGGACCAAACTTAATATTTTTTATGATTAAATTCAAAATTAGTCTAAAGATGATTTGCGATTGATTATAAAATTGTTTTATATCCAGTACACTGATTTTAAATTCTTTTAAAAATATTTATTTATTTATACTTCAATGATAGAGTTAACTTAATCATATGTTTCGGTACACTGAATTTTAAACTCTTTTAAATATTTGTCAGACGTGTGTCTCAATGCACACATTAAATAATACGAGTGTAAGTATAACTTTTTTATTTATTTTTTTTATATACTTAAAGTACCTAGTTATTTACCAAAAAATGTGTTGCTGGATCTTGTTAATATTAGTTGGGTGCATGTATACATACTTACTCAATATTTCCCTCCATCATTCAGGGTCCAATGTGAATTTAAACGTAATAAGTGAGGTTGAATCCTCGTGACATGAATGCATATAATAATTCTGATGGTGAAATAATTTTTTCTTGTACATACAAGGCGTAATTCAACCGATTCTTAAGTAGTAGATTTATAGTCTGGCTCAATCTTATCACAAAATTGATTTGTAAAGTAACTATTGTTTTGCACATAATAATATTATAAACATTTCAACGGTCGACATGAGATCTATGACAGAAGTACAACCACCATGAGTTATGAGAGAAAGGTGAATTTCAAGAGGCAATCACTTGGGTGAATGAAGGATTCTGCATTTACTAGGGCAAACACCAATATGGAACAAGGACAAATGAAAGCAATAAATATATGTGTGAAGAAAATGATGATATAGCTGGGGGAAAAGGAATCCCATAAAAGATGGCACTACATGTGCTTCCCATAGTATAGCCAATTGAGCATTATTCATGGTTCTTGTAAGGACCAATATAACACGCTCCATAACATGCGGTTGAGTAGTACAATTGGATTTGGAAAATGACACTACTTAGTAGTCACACTTCTCCCTTTGTAGGGGCTATCCTATGTATGTTTTATGTCTTGTTTCTATGTATTGTGACGTCCTTTGTTTCTATATATCATCATTCTCTTTCAATATGCAAACTGCAAAGGGCTTTTATTCTGAATTCTTCCAAATGAAATATGAGAGGTTATTGTAATAAGAGGTACTAGTGCAATATTTTTTCAAACAATTAAAAAAGATTAATGTAAGAATAGAAAAAGTAATAAAGAATATTTATGTAATTCTACAAAACTTTTAAGAAATGTTACTTTAATAATAAAGGTATGATTTAACCTATAATGTAGTTGCCCTTAAAGGGAATGAATAGTTACATTTGCTTGTTTCCTAATGGACTTGATTCTAGAGTTTGGAATTAAAGTGAGTGATTACTTACAATCTTTAAGGACAACCCCAAATTCAGAAACATCATCCTTTGGGTAAAGAATTCCATCTACCACCATTTTACTATCCATTTCGAAGATGACATTTTGCAATCCCATTTCAGTGATCCATTCAATATATAGCTTGCAGCAAACTAAGAACTTCTCCTTCATGAACCTGTAAAACCAAGGATGAAGGGATCGGGGAACATGGATGGGTCATGTACTCCCTATTTTTTCTAAATGTATTTAAATGATTATAAAAAAAAAGTATGACTCCTAAAATTTATAAAAAAGTATTAAATATTATTAGATGAAAATTAATATGTTAGTTGATACTTAAGATAAAGGAACAAACTAAGGAATATAAGTATGATTGAACAAAACTCCATAGTGTCATCACAAATTTAGCTCCTGTAGATGTTTCAACAAGACTGTATATTGTAATTTGTAAAGAAAAGATAAAAAAAAACTTTAATTTGGTTAATTAAAATATTATGTTAGTATTTGTTTAAAATCTTGTTACTTAATTGATGCAAATAAGATGGAGTGTTATATTTGAAAATTTTAAAATTTAGTGACATTTAAATAAATCATAAGACAGTTGAGTATAATTTAATCTTTTAATTTATAAGAGTTTAATTTAATTCTTATAAAAAGTACATGGATGCATAATTTGTGTATCTTTCCTGGATGCTTTCTTCTCACACTACTATTTCTGACTGGACTTGGTTGATGGTATTGTAGTTAATGGGCCTTTCTTCTAGCATTGCAAAGAAGCCAATAATATTGTGAAACTGGGCCAGTGATTGGGGGCAAATTGGAAAGAAAAAAGAATGACACAGATACTTCATAGTTCATACATTTACAGACTTTGTTTGAAGATAGTCATTGTTTTATTGGTGAATTTGAAGACAGACAAAATACTAAATAAAGTATGTGCTTGGCCCAACCAAAGTTATGATTATTTTCAATCTTTTTATATGTTTCTACTGCAATTGATAAACTTGAAAAACTTTCATTTTGTTTACACTATCAAACTATCACTACACCAATATAATATAATATGGTTGACATATAACTTTGTATTTTATGTTTGTATACTGATTCATAAAAAAAGTTAGACTATCGCCAATTTGAAATCATCTCAAATGTATTTTTTTTAAAGTATTTATCATAAAATTTAATAAATTTATTATATAATAATTTATAATTAAATAATAATATAAAAACAATTTACAATATCAATATATTCTTACCAGAATAAAGTATCGAAAGATAGTGATACAAAATCAATTCAAAATCTGAAGTAAATAAATTTAGTAATAAAAAGTGGAAAGATAATTAGTGAAGAAATATGGTAAGAAAATAAAGTAAGCGAGGCACTAGAGACTAGAGAGTAGAGACAACGAAAGAGTGAGACACTGATATCCAATTTTTTTTTTTTATATTTATTACATTAAAATAATAAATTTATAAATTAAATTTGATAAACGCTGTCACACACACTCTGTTACGTTTCATCATTCATCGGTGTTTCGTGATCGGATCCGGATCGAAGGGAGGAACGGGATTTTCGAAAGATCAAACAGCGGAGTGCGGCGGCGGTGGCAGTCGCGGTCGTTTCTAGCTTGAGTCGTGTCGGCGCTTGACGGTGATTTGATCCAGGAAATTGGCGGTTGGTTGACTCGATGGCGTATCGGCGGAGACAGCAGCAGGGGATTTCGAAGCCTTCTTTTTCGGCCTTCGAAGACGAAGCGACTCGAAACCCTAACCTCTTTCCGCCGCCGCCCGACGATGTTGACGCTTCCGCTTCGTCGTCTTCTTCGTCTTCGCTTGCCGCTAAAGCTATCAGAGCTTCTTCGGCGCGTCGCGACTCGTCTCTCTCCTCTCTCTACGGTCTCTCCTCTACTTCTTCTTCTCCGACCGCTGCTTCTCATCCCACTCCGATTCCTCCTCCTTCCGCTAAGGTCTCTCTCTCTCTCTCTCACTCACTCACTATCTATTGCTGCTTCTAGAAAATGTGAAAAATCGATGATGTAGAGTGTAATGGTGTTATTTGTGTGTTGGTTATGGGGTTTCTGTGGGATAGGGTTTATTGTTTATTTAATTATTTGTTGATTAAGAGAGAAGGAAATTACGGAAATTAGGAGGTGTTTGGTATAAGGGAAATTTTTTCATGTCCGATAATCGTGATTCCAATTAATCGTGAATGAATATTAAATCTGTTTCTTTGCTCAAAAATGTTATCTGGAATTTTTATAAATATTAATTGCGAATCAATTTTTTTTTTACTGCATCAAGTAGGCAAGGCAAATTAACGCAATATTTTTACATTTTTGCACGATAAAACATTATTTTACTACGAAGCATGTCCCGCAAGCGTAGATTAGTCAGATTAGACTTTTGTTGTCAGTTTTGAGATATTGTATAGATCATGTTCATAGAAGAGGAAAAACTCATGAATGCTAGATTTCCACCTACACTATGAGAAACCTGTGTAGAAAACATTTCACTAAACCATGTTTCATAGGAATACTATTTTTTAGATGATAAATCAAATGTGAGAAACTAATATTCCTATAATCAAATTCTTAGGAAAGTAAAATATTTTGTGTACCAATCGTCTCCTTAGAGTAATCTTAAGTGGAGAAGATGAGGCGTAGGGAAATAGAAAAGTTTAGTTTAAAAGAGCTTATGAAACTCTTCTGTGAATGTGTTCAAGAAATTCTCTTGAAATGCTAGTACAAGGTACGGAATATTGGGGAACTATTATTCACTATGTTGTGATACTGTGAGATTGTTGTTGATGGCACACTGTTGCCTGTGCAATTGCAAGTTGTGCAGGGCAATGAAAGCTCTCTTGCGTTGCAGGGTTCCTGTTGCTTCTGTGTAGCATATTACATAATGTTATGTTTTAGTTTCACATTGAAGTTGCAACATGGGCAATGTGGAAATGATATTGACTTCAGCAAAGTTAGTCAAAGCCTAGTGTAAATAAACTGTGTCAACTTCACATCCTTAGAATACCTTCTAATATGCAAACATGGCAATGTGGAAATGATATTGACTTCAGAAAAATTAGTTAAAACCTAGAGTGTATAAACACTGTCAACTTCACATCCTTAGAATGCCTTCTTATCAGCAACTTTTAGCTGTTAGAGTTGCAGTGTTTTGTGAACCTCTGTATTTTTCTGAGGGTGACTTCTTGTGTTTTGTTTGTGTAGTTCTCTCTTGTTTAAATGTTTTTTTAATTAGATGTTAGTCCAAGCTGCTGCTTGCTTCTTTTAATTGTTGATGTAAATGTAATTTCAGTTCTGGATTTTAGTTAATACTAAAACTGGATGAGATATCAGCTACATGTGTCTGTTACAATTAGTGCTGGTTTTTAGTTTTTTTTAATGTGTGAGTGCATGAAAGATTGGAAATGCATCTCTAGATGTGCTTACTTTATATCTGTTTCCTTTAATTGGTATTCCTTGGATTTTGCTGGAGGTATCAATCTGTTGATTCAAAATGGTAGTGTCATTTTGCTAAATGTGATGTTTTGTTTATACAGGATTCAAGAGCATATGAATATACGTCTATGAAGAATGTGAACGAGTCCAAGAATGGATTTTGGGGTGTTTTGGCCAGAAAAGCCAAGTCGATTATTGAAGATGATAATGTCCCCCGGCAATCTGAAATGCCTGGGACGGGGAGGTCACAATTGCCTGGGGTAGCATCTAGGGGCAAGGTGAGTTTAAAATTATATCTCAAATTCTTAGCAGAGATGTTGCTTTATATGTTATGTCAGGAAAATAAAAGTCAATGTTTGAATGATTTTATTGATTTCAAAATAAAGTTTTTAATGAGGTGAAAATTTTGGAAGGCTTGTGTAGATTAATCATAGTAAATAGTCATATTCTAGTAAAATCTATAGTTTTAGTTGTTCACAAAAGAAAAGGTGCATTGCTTTTGTTTAGATACACACATAATAGTCAATTGTGTTATTGTGCTGCTGCTATTAGCAGTATTGCATGTAAGGCCTGTTATGGTGCTGTTTCATGTAGCAATGAGAGCTTTTGCATGAAATCATAGCCAACTCTTCCGGATTAGAGTTCATGAGTGAAAAATCTCTTTTCTGGTTCTGGAACTGTGTCATTTGGTGCTAGTTTGTGGGGTCCATCTTGGGATTTTGCCCTGGTTTTCATTTAATCAAATCAGAAACCCTATTCACTCCTTTGCATGCACTGTCTACTTGGTAAGGAATTCCAATCCTTCTCAGACAAAGATAAACATTTCTCTGGCAAGATTTCTTACATCGCAGTCACACATCATTTGCCAGCCATTGAACGGCAAGCTTGTCTCTATTCTGGTCAACCCCTGACTCACACAATGCTGCTTTGTTTTATCCTCTGTTTTTTAACCTCTGACAGTTTCTAATTGGCCTTCTATTCGTTGTTCTGTCATCTCTAGTTCTTCTTACTACCATTTACTTTTTATTTATTCTAATTGGGTATTGGCTTCCCATTGATTAACAATAATGGCTTCATCCATGCATTATGTATATGTCTTCAATTTTTTTAAAGTTTTCAACATGTGCACGAGTAGTATAATTTATGTAATGCATATCAAGTTCAAAATAGTTGTTATCTTGCTAGCTACTGTTCCACTATGGCATTTTTGCTGTCAGCCGCTCCTTGTTGCTAATTAGATAAAATAAAAGAAGGGGATGTACAAATAAAAGATGGTTAAGGAATCCAACAAATTACATCAGTGTACAAGGGAAAATTTTTTGGTGCAAAACTGCCCAATCTGTTTTTGAAATGGCAACTCTGCTGAGATAAGAAATAACTATTAGCAGCCATATACACTTCAAATTTCTAAATTTGAATTGTTGCCATATTCTTTCACTGGACTAGTAATTAGCTGTTTCTTCATGATTTTTTGAACTGTGAAATTGGATGCTATTGTCATTCTCTTTGTAGTTCCAAAATTCAAATCACTTAGAGGAGAGCAATCTCAAAAGGGACAGTCCAGCATTTATGAAGGGATTAGATGCTATCACATCGTCTCTTACTCATATTGGTGGTACCATTGGTAAATCTTTGGAGGTGAGCTTTGATATGAAAGTTTTTGCTTATATGTATGTATTTCTCTCTTACATAATTATATACATGACTTACATGTTCCTTACTTAGTGTCTTCCATCTTTGAAAATTTATAGATATTTAGATCTATTTTAGCATTCTTAGTTTTGGTCAGGATTGCATCTGCGTCCTTTTCTTTCTACTTCAGATTTTTCACTTATGCATTTGCCTTTTGGGCTGGGCTTGTGTAGACAGGGATGAGAATGTATTGTAGTATGTTGGTTATATATTTCTTCTCAGGCTTCAAATGCAAATTTCATATTTCTCTCACCTTCTCCCTTCCCAAAAGGATGTGTTGTGATCTTCTTAGCACCTGTGCTAATTCCCTCGTGCAGGAAGGTTTAACAATTGTTGAGAATCGGACTTCAGATATCATTCAGGAAACTCGCAAACATATTAGGAAGAAGCCTGGAAACTTTGTAGGACAAAATCAGGAGTCAAACCATTCTACTACATTGCATCAGTCCCAATTGCGGTCCCAGACATCACCAAAGCAAACAGACCAAGAACTTCAATTGAAGGCATCTCGCGACGTAAGGTGGCAACTGTGTATCACTTTTTAATGTGGTAAATGTACTTGTGTGGTTAAGTTGTGAAGCATCAAAAGTTCAACATCCTAGCTCCAAGTTTTTTTTTTTTTAAATTTTCTCTTTTTGATTTTTACTTTATGTTCTTAAATATACTGCATGATTATATTTGTTTGCGCTGATTCAGTTGACCAAATAATTGAGATATGATTGAAGTTAGAGAGATTGAACTTAGAGAATCTTGAATGTATTCATTTATTGAAGCTTCTTTGGTATGATTCATGGAAATCAACTATTATGCATCATACATCTTTATGAATGCTGGACCTGCAAATCTTCCAATGTCTTTTTCTTATTACTTTGTTAATGTTTTACATAAATCAATATTTTTATGTAAATATAATGGTGTTTAGATACCCTTGAAATTAGAATATGAAATGTGTTGCAGTTTTTAAATTTTCCAATGATTATTCAGTTTGAAGAAAGATTCAGTAATGCATTGGCTAGTTTTTCTAAAATAATTATGTTTTATACAGCAGTTTCATGTTTCTTACAGATGAACTTGTTTTATGAAATGTTTAGCCAAAAAAATAAAGGAGAAGATATTTTTATAGAAGGGCACCCTTGATAGTCAAACTTCAAGGAATTAAAGTTAGTTTTTTTCTTAAAGGTGTATTATCACTTCGGTACTCTACTACCCCCTTCAACTTACCATGCTTTCATGTTTGTGATTAAACCATAAACCTTCCATATTTGATAATATGGAACCCTAATCTCCGCCAACCCACTATCTAGATGATAAGTGTTTGCTACTGTTTAATACAGATAATCAAAGTGACACTTCTGTCCTTAGTTTCCATTGAATGTATCTTTTCTCACCTTCGAAATTCTTATCACTAACTCCATTTCAAACAAAACTAATTTGCAAACCTATAATCATTTGAAAAAACTTTGGGGCCCTAAAGCTTGCTCATGACCATAATTTTCCTAGGTCAATCTTATGGACATGACAGCTGAAGTAATGTCAAACTAATACGTTGGTGTTATTTTTAAGGTTTCTCTCATCTCATTCTTTTGCCTCTTCCATTCTTATATAGCATGTGTTGTATTTACTCAATAATGCTTGATTATTTTTTGTATGTCCTTGTGTGCTTTTTATTTTAAGATAAAATATCATGGTTAATATGCTTTCATAATCCAAAAATATGGAAGTTTATTACAAAATATTCCTTTCTATCATGGTACCAAGTTGATATAATCTATAAGCTTCTATGATATATCTTTATCTTCTCAATGGGATGCATTGTTTGCATTTTGGTTTATGCCACAGGTTGCAATGGCAATGGCTACCAAAGCAAAACTACTTCTGCGGGAGTTGAAGACTGTCAAAGCTGATCTAGCTTTTGCAAAGGATCGATGTGCTCAGCTAGAGGAAGAAAATAAAATCCTACGTGAGAATCGTGAAAGGGGAGATAACCATGATGATGATGATTTGGTATAATTTTCAATTTGTCTCTTTTTGCCTTTTTGATTTCATTATTTCCTCTTGTATGCATCTTTTAGTGACACGCATAAAAGTTATCATCTGATGTTTGCTTCACATATTTTATGTCTCCCTATGATATACATGCCGGTTTTCCCCCAAACTCATTTTGTAAGCACAGTTAGCAATTACTTTTGCTTTGTTTATGAATTATAGTATGCTTTATGACACGGTGCTTACTGAACTCCTCAAATTCTTGGAACATAACGGTAAAGCTGTGTATATTTAACCCACTCCTCAGATTTTTGTTTGTATTCGGATGCTATACATTCAGGGGTCTACTTTATTAACATTGAAAACTGCTTATTTTCCAGTTGTTATTTTTTGTCACAATTTAAGATTTATTATTTGATGATTGTTGACCCTTTTGCCAGGATAGCAGTATTTTCCTATAGTTTTATTTTTTTTTGGGGGTGGGCGGGGAGTTGTTAAATTAACACTTATAAATCATGAAAGGTATGATGCCGGGTAAGATTACAAGAGGAATGTAAAGCATCTAAACAAAATGTCTAAGAGTTGAGCACGGCTGTGATTTAACTGAGTAAAATTGATTATCTATTGAGTTTGATTCTTTTTAAAGCATGAATTTGACTGAACTTCTTAATGGTCTTTTTTGTATAGAAGCTCTGACAGTGTGCATTGTGTTTGGAACCTAATTACTTGCATCACACGTTGTGAAAACTTGAAGATGTGTTTTGTAGGCATTATTCATTCAAACTATTTTTTGCATACATAATGCATTATTCATATATTTAGTTGATGCCCCCATAAAATGAATTAAATTTTCACATGGTTTCTGTAATTGACAGTCTTTCCATGCTTCATGATATATCTGTTCTTGTGTGGGCTTCATCACCGAATTTCTAACCCTGAAACTGGGAATATGCCTTGCATCATTTATCTTGCTGTGTTCAGCTTAACAACTTATCATCATTCATTGGCCTATATTTTTGTAGTTTTGAAGCTTTAACTTTGTGCAAAGGAGTTTCTTGAGTTTTCTTGTCCTTCACAATTGAGTGTTAGTACTTAATGGTTATTAATGAGTTTTACCCCTAATTTTCCTATTAAAACGAGCCAGTAAAACAGGCGAAGGGCCCATAAGCCTCTTATGTTTAGCACATTAAAACCTTGAATTATGTCATAACAGTCTGTTTGATGGCCATTTTCTAATCCAAGCCCATTTAATTTAAACTTGAGCTGGAGATAGCTGATGCTGGTTGGTCTGCAGGCTTATTTGTTTATAACAATAACGGCAAGTGCCCAAGCCTAGTTCTTTTATTCAACTAGGTTGAGTTGGCTATATATGGGAACAATCAAGCAGGCTAGCTTGCTAAAGTTTATATATTTTTTTTTAATTTTTAAAATAATTCTTTGTTAACCAATTGAAGTGACTGAATCCGTCAACCCAACAGTTTGAGTTGATGAACGGTCAAGATGTGTCATAGATAGCTTAAGCTTGCCCATTCCGTTCTGGGCAACCTGTGACATCCAGCCTGTCACGTCATTTTTTCAGGAAAGCAAAATGGGATAATTTTGTGTGGTAGCTAAAATCCTGACCCATATTTAGGTGGTTTGTTTTCTTAAATCTTTACCCAAATCATGTTATATTTTCTTGACGATCATATGCGTACTAATATTTAGATAAAAAATAGTTAATACTTGATCAAATTGCTTTATATTATAATTATAATGTATAATATTATTCTTAATATAAATATTTGTTGACGATCATGAGTTTTTCCGCTCTTTGGTTCATATTTAATTTGATTGATTTGATTATTCAGATTTCAACTCACGTTAAGACCTCACGGACAATGTGTTTCGGATATACTTTGATTCTCATTTCACCAAAACTTGTATATTTTTTGATGAAAGCATTTCAATTACAGATACGACTTCAACTCGAGACTCTTCTGGCTGAAAAAGCTCGCCTTGCGCATGAGAACTCAGTTTATGCCCGTGAGAATCGGTTTCTAAGGGAGGTTGTTGAATACCACCAACTTACAATGCAAGATGTTGTCTACTTGGATGAGAGCAATGAGGAAGTCACGGAAGTTAACCCTCTGAACTTTCCCCCAGTGCCTAATATTTCCCTTGATTCTATTACTCCATCTATATTGTCTCCAGAACCCAACCTGGGATTCAGTTCAGAATTAACAAGAGGCATATCTGTCAAGGATTCAAAGAGTTCTGAGGTGACTAGAAGTATCTCCTCTATCACAGGACATGATGCAAAATAACATGAAATTCGTCTGTTACAATGGTGATGCACCGCATTTTGATACTTTTTTTTTCATTTATTATTTATTTGCTGCTCGTTTCATGTGTCGTGGGTAACATTACCTTGATGTAATTTTGTACCGTATGTTGTGTAACTTGAGTTTTATTTAGTTATTTTTGTTCATTATATCAGCATATGTTGCCTACATCAGCAAGTGTCTTGTCTGTATAGCAATACTTGACAAAAGAAGTTTCTGTATATCATGGCAGTGTCACTTCTTGTCTATTTCTATTTCTTTTATTGTCACTCTCATACCAACGATTATATATATTTAATAATTATATTAGTTGATATTGATTGTAAAATTCAATTATAATTAATTCTATCTATCACATTCACGCTGCTTTTTGATTCATTTTCTGAGACCAAATCTTTCTCTCATCACCAAATTTCTTTATTTTTTGTGTTTGTTGCGTAGGACACATCCCGCAAGCAACACAGGCCTCCCAAATAGCTCCTTCCATCTCTTTGCAACCTTTGAATTTCATTGCATTAAATTGGTTTTGACTATCGGTCTAACGACTGACGTAATAAAAAAATGATTTCGTGAGGGTGAAATTTAATTAATGTTCTGTTTGGTAGCAAGAAAAAAATTAAGTGAAAAGTAATAAGTGAGAAATAAAGTGAAATTTTGGATTATTTGATTTGAAAGAAATAATTTTGTGAAGTTATTTACTTTGAATGAAAAAAAAATTATGATATGAAGTTTCTGCCTTAAAAAAATAGCTAACATCCAAACATTTATTTAATCTATTACATAATATTTGTAAAATTGATTAATAACATGCGCAGTGAGCAATTCTTTTAATTGGTTTTATAAATAATTAATCGATCACATAATTATTTTGTTAATATGAGTCATTTGGAATGAAATATCATCGATTAGAATCTACGGTTAATTGATTAAATTAGTGTTGAGTAAGTGGATTAATTCAATTCAAAGTAAGGGTTTAGGACTATTAACATCTTTTTTAATCGATTGTGTCTAATTTGTAAATGGTGATGTGTTTCAATTGATTATTTTAGAAGTTTAATCAATTAAAAAGGTGATCCAACAAACTACACATTTTGTAGTTCACGGATTTTTGGTTGAGGTATTTTTGTCAATATTATTTTGTCCTTTATAAAATATAACTTTGGTTGTATTTTTATGTTATTTAGCGAAATAAAAAAATATACATGAGTCAAGTTTTTATCTTCTCCCCTCTCTTTATTTGCACTATCAAACAAGCCAATATTTTTAGTCTAAGCCTATTTTTTTTCCCTCTCATGCGTAGTGAGTAACTTTTTTTTAATCGATCTTATAAATAAATAATTGATTACATAACTACTTTGTTAACATGAATCACTAGTGGTGGAACATAATAATTAGAATCTATAATTAATTGATTAAACTAGTGTGTTAGTAGATTCATTCAATTTAATGGAAGGTGTTAACACCTTTTTTAATTAATTATTTTTTATTATAAAAATATATTATAACGATGACGAAGAAGATCAAACCTAGATGCTCACATTTTTAACTCAACCCTTTCTCTCTGACAACTGGGATTGGTTTTGTTAAAGTTGTAGGTACTTCAATCAGATTCCGAATATTCACTTGCAATGATGTGTTTCAATTAATTATTTTCAAAGTGTAATCAATTGAAAAGGCAATCCAAGAAACTCATGTTTTGTGGTTCATCGATTTTTTATTGAAGTATTTTTTATCAATATCTTTCCATCCTTCATAAGATACAACTTTAGTTACATTTTTCTCACTACTTTAATGTTATAAAAAAATATTTGGGACTCCTCAACTTTAATCTTCTCTCCTCTCTTTATCTGCACTATTAAAACAAAACAATTTTTTTTTTTTTAATTCACACATGTTTCTTTCCTCTCAACCAAATTATTCACAAAATCAACGTCACCAAATGAAGGGTAAAATCATAAACTTGTGAAGTATACAGTTTTATTCTTTTTGAGTTCTCTGTATTGTTTAGTGTATTTATTTATCATATATTTTTGCGTATATTCATTCATATTACTTGTTTAGTATCTCATCTTAATAATCGTTATATGCTTTATCTAGATACTCATCATTAGTCAAAAAGCCTTGTGTTTTTCTCCCATCTTTTAGGTTTTTTTATTTATAAAAATAGTATAATTATTAGTTATTCAAGGTATATAAGATTACAAGTTCAGCACAAATTTTCAATTGAAGATATTTTAAGAAAAACAAAAAAAAAAATTGTTAAAAAAGTGTATAGTTGACAATCCTTTCTTTCACAAGTCCAAACCTTACTCGTGTGCACATCATGGTGTACAGTGAATCATGAGTAGACAATTTCCTCAAATGCATTTGCTAAAAAGATGCTCAACCGAGAGACAAGGATCTAGTTTCGTTTCTCTTTCTTTTTGGTACTGATATTTTGTGATCAAGAGATTCACGTGTGTGGATATTCTTGTCTAGAAAGTTCTTTTTCGTATCCATTTTCTAAGGTAACTTTTTCTTTTTTCTTTACGTCCAAATGTAAATTTATGTAGAAGTTAATATTTATCACTTTAAGTTAAACGTAAAAATTCGCGTCTATAATGCAAACACATACTAAAGCTTGTGACTCATTTACGGTTGGTGTTCCTTCACATGTTCCTCATATTGAAGGAGTTGTTTAGGGAACAACACTCAACTTATTTTCTAATTAAAGACACAAAGATGTACCTAAAGTGTGCAATCAATTTAACTTTTATTTTTGGAACACCAATATCCTACATTAAAGACAATTATATTTGATTTAAATAAGATTATTAAGAATGATAAAACTCTCACTCTTTAAATATTTAACATAAGTGTATATTCAAGATTCAAATTTAATATCATTAATCAAACTGAAACAATTTTTTTATTATTACCAAAAAAGAAACAATTTTATTAATTGATTATATTAATATATTACTTGCTTGTTCTAGAGAAGAAAAAAAAAAACTTACTCAGATTTTTTTTTCTTCTTTAGTAAATTAATGCCTTTTTGAGATGTGTCATCGATCATGGATGATGTTATAAGATCTCCCTTTCTGAGATGGTAATTTAAACCTTTTCTTGTTTGCATATGTGAAAAAAAGTTATATGCCGTTTTTTTTTTTCAATTCAATTAGTATTTATGTAGTGATGACCCACCAAATATTGTTAGAAATATAAGGGAATTCTTACTTACCTATACATCTAGTCTGAAAATTTTAGTAAACAAAAAATATTTAATAATTCATTCAGTTCAGGTACTGAAAAAAGAAAAACCCCAATATGTTAAAATTGTTTAAAGAATAAATAAAGGGACCAGCACTATTGGTGTATGACAATTGACACGGGTTTATGATAAATTGATAACCGTCCGTGTTTAAAAATTGAATTCCTCATTAACTTTTTATGATGTTCAATCATTTTCAAGTTTACAACCTGCGGCAGCAATCTGATCAAATTGCTTAACTTTGTGACATCCTTTTTTTCGTATTTAGGCAGTTGAAGAACCCACTAACACAGGAAGTTAGTTGTGGCATTGACTATTATCTATCTGTGTGCCATTAAATTACAGTTGCAATTATCAGCTATTTCCACCTCAACCAATGCAACAAGTTCACATGCTTTGTACCTCCTTGATTTGACACCCCCATTTTGCTATGCTTTTCATCTTTCCTAGGATTTTTCTTCACTTAACAACCATATAATAACCTGGTTCAAGAATAACATGGTGCCTTTAAGACTTGTTGTGTAAATTAAAAATTGAATTCTAATTCTTAATTAAAGAGGACAAGTGTACGAGTCCCTCATTCTTGGATTTTTTATTCATAATCTTAAAAGAAAATATCAACTACACAATTTTATGAAATGTTAAATCCTCCTATAAAGTAATGTAATAATAACTCTTCAGATTACCTGAACAGAAAATTAAGTACTGAAAGAAAAAAGAACCATTTTTTTTAAACAAAAGGTATATGAAGAGAACACTTTAATAATCATATTCATGGATAAAAATGTACCAAATAAATTGTAAAATTAGGGGTCCCATAAAGCACAAAAGAAAACAAGAGAGCAGAAGGGAGGAATGTGCATGCATTAACATTTATCATGTACATTACTGTGAGCATTCTCCCAATCTCAAACGGCAAAGTTGCCCCCTACATTTCCTGATTCTCATCTGATATTTTTCCAATTTGTTACCTTTTTTTTTTCTCTTCTTTTTTCACAACCCATTTTCCTTTTCTACCACATTTCTTTTTCTTCTTCAACCAGATTCTGGTAAAAAAAAAAATGAATCTTTGATAACAATTTCAAGATTTTCCCACCAACCCACCACAGAAAGATCCGATTTTGAGTTCTTGGGGTGGGGTTTCTGCCGTTTTTCTTTAACTTTTTCGCCATTGGCATCTGCAGCACCACACAAACTCACAGAATGCTCAACAGCTTATGGTCAATTGGTGTGGTTTAGCCTTTAAACTGTAATCTCTCTCTCTCTCTCTCTCTCTCTCTCTCTCTCTGTGTTGCATTCTTTGTTGTGTTTCTTAGTCTCTGTGTGTGTCTTTCAGTGTTGGATTCTTGGTGGGTTTTGCTTTAATTTTGACTGAACGAATGAGATCTTGATGCATTCTTTGTTGTGTTTCTTAGTCTCTGTGTGTGTCTTTCAGTGTTGGATTCTTGGTGGGTTTTGCTTTAATTTTGACTGAACGAATGAGATCTTGATGAGGGTTGGAACCGGTTTCCTTGCACTGCTCTCATTGTTGGCATTGCTTATTTTACTTCCATTTTCAAGTGCTCAGTCACGCGCCCTTGATGCCATTCTTCAAGATTGCGCCTTTAAGGCCTTTTTGAGGCCAAAAACTGGGGTACCCTATGATGGTAAAGTGCCAAGAACCCTAACTGGGGTCGAAGTTTCAGCAATGAGGCTCAGGAGTGGTAGTTTGAGGACCAGAGGTGTTGAAAGGTACAAAGAGTTTCAGATCCCAATTGGGGTTGTTGAGCAACCTTATGTGGAGAGGCTTGTTTTGGTGTACCACAACTTGGGAAATTGGTCTGAAAAATTTTACCCTTTGCCTGGTTACTCATATTTGGCACCTGTTTTAGGTCTAATGTCATATAGTGGTGCTAATTTGTCTGCTTCAGATTTACCTGAGTTGTACCTTAGAGCCTCTGATAGGCCAATTTTGATTAAGTTCCCTCATGTGAAACCAGCACCACAAGGGTTAGTGCCAAAGTGTGTGTATTTTGATCTACATGGTTCAGTGCAATTTGATGTAGTATTACATGGGAATGTGTGTTCAACTGTTCAACAAGGGCACTTCTCTATTGTGGTGGAGTCCAATGCACCAACTCCAGCACCTGCTTCTGCTGTTGCTGTTGCTGCTGATTTTAAGGAAGGTGGTGGTGGGAACAAGTACAAGGTGTGGATCATTGTGGCATGTTTGGTTGGAGGCTGTCTCTTGTTGATCATGTTGAGTTTGTTGGTTGCAAGAGTGAGGAGAACCAAACAAGGTATGAAGATTCAGCAGTTGGAATGGGCTGCTGAGAGCAATGAAGCTTTGCAGATGGCTTCAATTGGAGGCACCAAAGCACCTTTGGCAATAGGGACTCGCACAAGACCAACTATTGAAAATGATTACATACCTTAGACTTGAGGGATTCTTGTAGGACCATTTTTTTTTTCCTTTTTCCCTGCTTGGTGTTGTAATTTTTGTGTTCATAATGAGTTTAGAAAGAGAATGCTTTCCTTGTCTACTGGTCATGCTCAGAAATTCTGTTTCATTGGTTTAGTTTGGTGTGATTTTCATGAACATCATTGGCTTTGGTTACATTATAAGACCCAAAAAAAAACACAAAGACAAGGTTTTGTAGAACCCTTGTTTCTCTCATCTTTGATCTGTTATGTCAGCTATGAATAGCTAAAATTGATTTAGGTGTTTGTGGACTAGCTACAATAGTAGATTTCAGAAGGTTAAATAATTGTGATGTAAAAATATTGTTGGATATCTTCTTTAATGTTATCTCCTGAGCACTCAATTGATGTAAAGTTTTATTTTAAAAAGAAGAGAAATTCGTGTGTGTGGCCTAACTTATGAAGTTACCATCATTTGAAAGCTTTTACACTTGAAAGCCTAGATCCAATATACATTACAGAGAATTGAGACAAGACAAAACTCGATAGCCTCTTGTATAAAAATGAAATCAATAAATTTTCTTTGTATAAAAAATAAAGCTGAAGGGTCGTATTCTGTGCTCCATGTGAAAAAAAATATAAGAACACAAATTTGTCAAGTTAAATTTACTCATATGAAAACTATAAATTTCAAGTAATGTTCAAACTATATAAATACAATAAAAATCACGTAAAACTGAGTCTCTTTAGTAACTATAAATCTGAAAAATTTTATATATTTTTTTTGGTTATTTATAGAACTCATTTTTACCATGTTTCTAGTCATTTTTAGTTTGAATATTAGTTGGGTCCTTATATTTTTTTATAGGTGAATGTAATGGATCAAAATGTCTTTAAATTTCAGAAAAACAACATTAACTCAAATTTAAGAATTATAGGATTAAAATAATTTTTTTAAAAAGATAAAAAGATTAAGATGAATTTTAGTAAAAAGTTAGGAGACTAAAGATATATATTTAGTAATATATATAGGAGTATTTCAAATAAAAAACTCAAAAAAAAAGTGAAAACTTTTAATGATAGTCCTTATATTATAATTAAAAATAATAATAAAAAAAAATATAAGAGGCAAGCGAGTTCTGTCGAATCTGAATTCTCTGTCACGTATATAGGAATTGGGCTTTCAAGTGTAAAAGCTTTCAAAGGATAGTTACATGTTAAGTTTGGAATTTCACTTCTTTTTAGAATAATAAAAGCTTACGACATCAATTGAGTGCTCAAGAGATAACATAAAAGGAAATATTCTTACAATCATTGTCATATGTACGAAAGGTAAAAGAAGTTAATATTCATACATAAATGATAAATATTGTTTTCATTAATTTTAATTTTAATCACGATTGAAATTTGTTCTTCTAATTAAACATGCATTCCATTTCACTTAATGGAAGCTTCTACTTGTCTTCCATTTTTGACTTTAAAACATGTTTTTGAAAATTATTTATCACCTAAATTTGGTAAATATTTTTGAAATGATAATAGATTTTGAGTTTTTATTTCAATACATAATTAGTCTAAATATTTTTACATGAATAATATTATTTATATGACAAATTGTTTGAATTTTCTTTGTGCCAAATTGTCCTAAAATTTCATTGAAATATATAAGACATTTTATAAAAGGGTTGATGAGTAGAACTTGAATCATCTCTTGCCCCAAGGAGACCAAGGGCTAAGTGGTTTCACACTTAGTTGTTCTACTTCATCTCCAAGTGTCTCCATTTGTTAGTGTTCGGTGAATTTTCCTCCCAACTTTTTCTCTCTTTGGTTCCATGAAAATTTTCTCCCCTTCCACACTATTCTCTTTGTTTTCATTCATGAGAAGTTTCCCTTGTCGATTGTCATGTTGATTTTTGGAAGAAGATAGTTCAAAGGTTTCAAGATCCTACACTTTCCAACCTCTCAAAACTTCCAAACTTTAAAAGTCTTGAAGGGGAGGGAGCTTACCTTCCTTCCTTTCTTTTGTTTAAATTTTGTTTGGCTTGGTAAGACCTTTGCTTTGTTGGTGTTTTGGGTCCTAAAGGAACATATAGTTCAAGATAAAATTTTTGTTCTTGTTTTAAAATCCAAGAGAAATATGTTTCTCTTTTGTGTATGATCCACCGGAAAAGCCATGTTTCTATATGATTTTATTTATCATCGGAGTTTTGCTCAATTGGTTAAATAGCCTTTGTGTGTGTGTGTGTGTGAGTTGTTAGATTCAGCACTAAGTTCGATTCTTACAAATAAAAAAAAATGGTTTTGTGGTCCAAAATAATTATTTGAAATTATGAGAATGTCATATCTGGAAAATGATTTTTGTTTCTTGATAATCACAAAATTTTCAATGAATGGTGATGGCCATTGATGTTGGTTTTGTGGTGGATTTAATGCCAAAATGTTGGAAACCTCTTCATTTTGGAGCTGGATGGAATGCTTGGTTTCTGAACAAATTTGTGAAATTGAAGTTAGTCGAAGAAATGGACCAAAACTTCTTGATTTAAGGCACAACTAATACTAAAGAGTCCTATATAATTAATTGATTTTAATTAAGTATAAATTCAAAAAATTATTAAATACTAATATTTTATCTAATGACATGGGTTAGAGGTAATTTGTAATTTAAAAATATTTTGATAATTTAGAATAAGATGTACAAAAATAATGTGCAAAAATGGGTCAATACAAGCCAAATGTGATCCAAAATTTAAAATATATTTTAAAAAGGGTACTCACATGATTTATCATTTTTTTTAAAAATAATATTACATCATATATGAATTAATTTCGTTGAAAAACAATTTTTAGACTTAATTTGGTATCTTTAATAATTTTGGAAGTAATAAAAGTTAATTAGGAGTTTTTTTTTTTAGAAAATTAAATAAGGGAAGAACTGTTTATTTACATTTAGAAAAATTATTTATTAATTAAAATAATATATTTGTATAATATAATATTTATCGAGAAATTTTAGAATTATTAATGTTAATTACACATATTCTAGTATTTTACTTAACTTTAGGGGTACTATGGACATTTCTCGTAAAAACGAACTTTAAAATCTTAGAAAATTTTCAGAGGTTATTCTCTCATAACTTTTTTTAAAAAAATATTTTTGTATAAGATAAAAATTTGTGTTTAATATATAAAATTAATTATTTAAATTTTTATAATTTTTTTAAAGTTTAGTAGATAATGTGATAAAAAGGTATTTTTATAATTATAAGATTAATTTGATTTTATTATTTTAAATTATCATGCGGGTTGAGGGTCATATAACATATGAAATCATAGATATTAGATTTTAAAACTTTAACATGACTCATTTATTATGTGAAAGTTAAAACTAATTATATATTATTAAAAATTATTTTAAAAATATATCAATCTCTGTATTCGCATATTTTGTTTAATCCGTACATCCCACGAATTAAAAAGATAGCATTAATTATAGAGAACTTTTTCAATATAATATACAATTAATATAATGTTATTGTTACATATTATTAAATAAACATAATAAATACTAAAATATATTTTTGTAGAACGTATGATCTTTCATGTCTCTTCCCCCAGTACTAATAATTCATTAATATATAAATATATAAAATGCTTTTTCTCCTAATTTTTTATATTAACAATTTGACTGCATATTATATTTGATAAATATAGTATTTAAAGTTTTTAGAAGTCAATTTAACTTATATTATAATATTAATTGTGATATTTATTAAATTTAATATACTATGAATTAAATAATATATATATCGATACTATAATATTTATTTACATTATCATTCTAAATTTCCAGTATACCAAAAAAAAATTACATTATCATTCATTAATTATCGATTTATGATATATGATAAACTTTTTTTTTTTCATAATAATTATATTAATTTATTTTTTAAATTTTAAGATAATTATTATAAAATTCAACAAATTTATTATAATAAGAGCTTGGCGTGTTACATGATCGTTCATAGTATTTTTTTCTCATGTAATATATGTTTTAATGTGTTCATGCTTTTACTAATTTAAATTTTTAAAAGATTATTTTCTAAAAATATATTTTAAAATAGAAATTTTTTAAATATATAGTAATATAAATATAAACATATAATAATGTATTTCTTAATATTTATTCTTACTAATTCACTACATATTATTGTCAATAAATTTAATATTACATGTCTTTTTATTTATAATATTTTATTATGATATTTATTAAATATGATGTATGTAATGTTGTAAGTTGACAATTGTTGTTTTGTAAAATAATACTTTACTAGGTGCTTCAGGTGTGTAGAGTTACTCTAAGAGAGTTAAAAAACTATTAAGAGTTTAGTTTTAAGGATCTCTGATCAAAGATCTAGATGATCCTAAGTATAACGATCTGCTATAATTTGTACATTCAACGACAAATAACTAGTAGTGAAAAAATTACTAACTTAGAGTTATATATCTACAAATACAAAAGTATGTACTATATAGCCTACATATAAAGATAAAAACAACTATTCAAATATATGCAATATAGATACAATAATCTTGTAAATGTAAACTATATAACTTAAATTTGTCAGTCAAGCAATTCATATACAACTATACTACTCCATGATAGCATCCAAACACCTCATGCCTATCTATGCTTTACTCCCATACCACATGGAAACATGCAAGAATAAGTTAGAGTTTAAAGCATCAACATATACAACAAGAATCATAAGTAACAAGGTTTTACAACACAACTCATATTTTCAGCATCATTATTTCAATACATTCAACTCCATCAACTTTATAACAATATTTACTACAACACAAGGTCACCTTAAACAACACAACATTAACAGGTTAGTTTTCAAGACATCAACATACTTCATCACAGCGCAATATTGCATATGAACAACACAATTAAATCAACACATCATATATACAACATAACAACTGCATGTGTCATCATACATTTCAACTAAAAGATCTCCTATAATACATGGTAAACAGTTTAAGTGGCTTGACCCCACTGAACCAATAATACATGGTGATCTTTTTTACGTGCTAGATCAACAACAAACTGGATATCAATCCACAATACAATAACTTGATTTCTCAAATATTGTCACTTAAACAAGGAAGTCTAGTACCATTATTAGGGTAAAATAACTAGGTATGGGTCTACCATGACATTAGCTAGCT